GAACGGATTTCTGCCGTCATCCGCAAGGAAGTGATACGGTTTGAGGTAGGTTTGGCCCCGCTCTCAGCCTGCAGCCCCCCACCGGCCTCGCCTTGGTGTGTGCCTTGCCTGGGCACACGAGTCAGGGATCACTGGGCTCCTGACCCTGCTCCCAGCGCAGTGGTTGGCAGCGTCTGTAAATGTGGCCACATCCCCGCTGGGGCATCGCTGCTCCGGGCAGAGCTGGTGGCTTTTGGCCACGGGGAGGTTTCTGTGTGAGAAGCTTAGCCTTTGAAACGGAGGTGGGTGCGCAGAGAGCGACCGGAGAGGAGCTCCATGCTCAACATCTCAAGCTCCTGTGCTGGTCTCTGTGGTGCCCCAGGAGGAACAGGGAAACCTCGGTGGTTTCTCCTTCCCCTCAGAGGCTGGAGGGGTTGGTTTGGTGATGCACTCAGCCTGGCGCTGACTCCCTGTGCCCGTCTCTTGCAGAAGGAGAAATCCAAGGACTTCAGGAACCACGTCACGAAATACCTTGAGACGTTACTAAACTCTCAGCAGCAGGTGAGTGGGTTTTACCTCTTGAAGCTCAGCTCACTGTGAGCCCCACTGCGGGTGCATCCTGGCCCTGCGAGAGGGGAGGGATGAGCCCCCATGGGTGGAGCAGGAGCAGGTACAAGCCTTGCACCCCCTGGATGCCTTTGTGGGGGCTGTGCCCTGTGGAGGGGCTTCTGTTCCCCCTCTGCCTTGTGTGTCTCAGCCCTCTCTGGGCTTGAGCTGTGCCGGCAAAACCCCGCAGGCTCCTGACTCTGCTGTGTCTCCTCTTGCAGCTGGTGAAGTACTGGGAAGCGTTCCTCCCCGAGGCCAAGGCCATTTCCTAACAGAAGCACAAGAGCAAGCCTGGGATTTGCCTTTTTTTGGTTGTTTTTTTTTTATATACACTATACCTCTTCCTCTTTTCCACGTGAACAAACCCTCCCTCGTTCAACACTCTGGAGCTGGTAGAGGTTTAACCCCTGGACAAGCAGCTTGCAAGCCAGTAACTCTTCTAACTGTCTATTTTTCATTTAGCAACATATATTTTCTTACTGAAGAGAATGCAGGTTCCTGCTGTAAGAGCGGACCTGCAGCAGGGCCCGAGCGGTCGGGGTGAAATGTGTATTTTTCAGGCTGGGTTAGGACTCTAGTGCCTGTCTTACCCTGCAGCGCTGTTAACTTCGGGAATAAAACTTCTATCAGGGCACAGCGGCTCCGGGTGCTTGCGGGAGCGGGGAGGCTCCAGCCCTGCTCTGACCTTGGGCGCTCCCGCGGCTCCCGCTGCGGTCGGGGCTGTTTTTAGGTCTGAGCTCACCGGGGCTGCGCCGGGGCCCTGCGGGAGGGGGGGGGGGGCCTGGCCCGGAGCGGGGGCTGCGAGGTGCGGGGGCTGCTCCGGCTCCTTCCCGCCTCCCCAGCGCGGCTCTGCCCGACCCCGATGCCCGCTCTGCCGCTGCCGGGAGCCGGCTCCCGCGGACTTCCCACTTTCCTTTCCCCCTGCCCCGGCAGCTCCGGGTCCCCGCGGCGCCGCCAGGCCCCGTTGGCCCCCGCTCCCCGCAGGGCTCGGAGCTCGGCCGGGTGCGGGGTCCCCCCGTGCGGGGCCATGATCGCCGTGTCCATCCCCGCGGCGGAGGCGCAGGCGGCAGCGCGCAGCCCCGACAGGGCGCACACGGTGAGGGGCGCCCGCGGGCTATAGGGGGGGGCGGGTCTGCAGAGGGGGCTCCCACCTGCCCGGGGGGGGGTGTTGGGGGTCGGAGGTCCCCAGATGTCCCCAGAGGTGCCCCGGGAGGGAGTCCGTGTAGCGGGGACACAGACCCTGCACCGTCGGCAGCGTCCCCGTGGGAGGATTGTCCCGGGATGCCCCCCCCGCCTCAGGGGTTGGAGGTCCCCGGGGGTCCCTGCCCTATAAGGCGGCGCCCCCTGCCTTGGGAGCGGGGCTGTTCCTCTGCCGGGGCTCCCTGTGAGCCCCAGGTGTCGCCGCTGCTGTTGGGGTGTGCAGGGGCAGCTCCTCTGCCTTTATAAAGGGGGGTCCCTCGGCCGGGGTCTCCTCCGGCCCCAAGCGGTTTGTGTGTAAGGGGGGGATCCCTTTCTGCCGCCGGGTACCCCCGCCTGCCCCACGGGGGGGCTGTGCCGCCTCCCTTCCCCCCGGGGCTGCAGGGGCCCAAGTGCCCCCAGAGCAGTTTCTGCCTCTGCAGTTTGTGGGGTCCCCTCTGGCCGCAGGGGGGTGTCACCGGCGGTGCCCGTGGGGCCTCGGGAAGGGGGGGGGGGGCCTGTCCCGGGGGGAGCCCTGCCTGGGGACCCTGCGTCTGTGAGGGGGAGGGGATGCCCCTGGCCCAGGGGATCCCCTGGGTGCTCCTGCCTGGCCCCGGGGGTGGGGGGGGGGAGCCTCCTCCTGTACCCCAGGGTTGGAGGCCCCCAGATACCTCCCTCCCCCCCTGCGGGCTGGGGGTTCCCTCCTGTGGAGGTGGGAGCACCCCACTTGTCCCAGGGGGTGGAGAGCCGGGGCAGGGGCACAGTGTGTGGATGTCCCTGGGGTGCCCCCTGCCCTGGGGGCTGGAGCCCACTGCCCCTTCAGTAAAAGGCTGTCCCTGTCCCAGGGGTCCCCTTTGGCCCCAGGGGAGGTTGGGGGGTCCCCACCTGCCCTGAGAGCCCCCAGGGGGTCCCTGCATGGGGGCCTGGGGGGGGGGGGTGTCCTGCTGAAGTCTCCCTGGAGGGGGGTGGTGTGTGTCTGGGCCTGGGGGTCCCGATGGCACGTTGGAGTGAAGGTCCCTGCGTGTCTGCAGGGGTCCCTGCCTGGGGTGCCCCCCCCCCCAGGGGGTGCAGGGTCACTCTGGGGAGGTGGGGATGTGGATGGGGTTGCAGGGCCCTGATTGGCCCCACGGGGTCCTGACTTGCCCTGGGAAGGGGGGGTTGTCCCCCTCTGCCCAGGGTTGAGGTGCCCCGTGTCCCCTCCCTGGTGTCCCCACAAGCCCCAAGGGGGTTGAAGGTCCCTGTTTGTCCCTGGGGTCTCAGCTGCCCTGGCAGGGGGGGGATGTCCACAGGTAACCAAAGGGCTGGAGGTTTCTGCCCCCCCTCTGGGGGGTTCCATCTGCTCCTGCGGTCTGCATGGGGCCCAGGGGATCCCTGCCTACCCCAGAAGTTAGGGGCTGCCTGTCCTGGACAGTGGGGAGGGTGGAGGTTCCCAAGAGTGTGTGTGAGCCTCCCCTTGAGGACAGTGAGGAGGATGAGGTTGATGGAGATGAGGATAATGGGGATGCTGAGGATGATGCTGAGGATGGTTGATGGGGGTGATGGAGGTGAGGATGCTGAGGATGATGCTGAGGATGGTTGATGGGGGTGATGGAGGTGAGGATGGAGGTGAGGATGCTGAGGATGATGCTGAGGATGGTTGGTGAAGATGATGGGGGTGATGGGGGTGAAGGTGCTGAGGAGGCTGTCCCGCACCGCAGGTGTTCCGGGTGGAGGTGCTGTGCAATGGCCGGCGGCACACGGTTGTGAAGCGCTACAGCGAGTTCCAGGCGCTGCACAAGCGGGTGAGACCCCAGCAGGGACGCGGGGAGGGGACAGGAGGACACCGGCTCCCCAGGCAGGGAGGAGCAGCCCCATCCTCCATGGCCCTCGCTGCCCCCATGATGTGCCCCCGTGATGTGCCCCCATGCCGTGCTCTGCCCTAGATCAAGAAGACCTGCAAGGTCCCCGACTTCCCCCCGCGCCATGTCCCCAACTGGATGCCCAAAGTGCTGGAGCAGCGCCGGCAGGGCCTGGAGCTTTACATCCGGGTGAGGCCCCGGCCCAGGGTGGCTTTAGGGGTGTGCTGGGCTCTGTCGGGTGCTGACCATGGGTGCACCTCAGGGTGTCCTGTACCACAATGCGGAGCTGCCCCAGGACGTGCTGGACTTCCTGAAGCTGCGGTGCTGCCAGCAGGACCCCAAGGGCAGCAGCTCCCTGTGAGTAACCAGGCAGCACCTGGAGCTGTGGGGTGGCACACGGGTTAGCCCAGCATGGGGCTGGGATCATCCCCTCACCCATGCGAAGCTCCAAGACCTGGGCTTGGGGGCACTGGGACAGGCAGGTGGAAGCTGGACCGGTTGCTGGGAGCTGATGTCCCCTCTCCCACAGCAGTGCCAGTCGCCCACCCTCCCAGCGCCCTGTTGTTGGCTTCCGCACCGATCCCTATGCGCAGCCTCCAGGCACCCGTAAGGAGCAGGTCCCAAACCCTCCCGGGGAAGCGGCACTGTTGGGTCCCCAAAATGTGTGTTCCCTTTTCCGGAGCCCGCAGCAACGCGGCTCCAGCTCCTGCTTTTCCCTGCAGAGCTGCTCCCTGACACCATCCTCAGCGGGGTGCTGCAGGGCCTCTACCTCCCCCCTAGGAGCACCCCCGGGCAGGCACTGCCTTGAGCACCCAGGGCTGCAGGGGTGAGTGCCCTGGCAGCAGCAGCAGCATCCCCACTGCAGGAATAACTCCTTCCTGCTGTGATGGGGTAAGAAAACAAGGAGCACAGTGAGAGCCACTGCTGACCACCCACCCCTATCCCATGTGCCTTCACTGGGACCTCTGCCTTCTGCTCCAGTGATCTGGGGTTGGGGTAGGAGCCTTCAGACCCCAAATGGCGCTGGGTATTGAAGCAATAAATGACTTGTGGGTAACTGGCAAAAGCCGGCTGCGCTCTGTCATTCCGGCACAGCAAATCCAGGGCCGACTGCTCAGCCTGATGAAACCTGGAAGGGGGTGGAGGCCGGGGGTGCCCTGGGCTGCGGGACTGGGAGCGAGCTGGAGCCCTCCAGGAGCAGGAGAGGCAGCGCTTTAAAAAACACATTGGTCACGTTTATTGGTGCATGTGCTGCTTACAAAAGTGATGGGAAGGAGCCCGGGCCCGGCCCGCCCGCCGGCAGGGTGAGAGGAGCCGGGGCACGGTGGCCCTGCCCCTGCTCACCCGCCCGGGACCACAGGGAACACACGAGGGGGGAGCAGCGCAGGCCCAGGCCGCAGCCCTTCGAGCCAGGCCCCTCGCCGCGCCGGAGAGCCAGGACCGCGCGTTACTCTTTGGCGATGGCGAACGGCTTCTCCACCTCGATGGTGCCGCAGTCAGCGATGGTGACGTCCTTCAGGGGCTTGTCCCGGCTGTCTGTCTTAGTGCTCTCCACCTTCCTCACCACGTCCTGGGGAAAGCAGAGGCATGAGAACAGCGCAGGGCACGGGCAGAGCCTGGTCAGTGCAATCCCCATCCCATATGGCACCTCCCGGCCACTTCTTCACAGAGCTCTGCCCCCAGCCAGCATCGGCCTGGTCCTGCTCTCCCTGTGAGAATCCCCATCCCTCCACCACCCATCACCCTCCAGCACCCCTCACCCCTTACCATGCCCTCCAGCACTTTGCCGAACACCACGTGCTTCCCATCCAGCCATGGCGTCTTCACCGTGGTGATGAAGAACTGGGACCCGTTGGTGTCCTTGCCGGCGTTGGCCATGCTCACCCAGCCGGGGCCGTAGTGCTTCAGCTTGAAGTTCTCGTCGGGGAAGCGGTCCCCGTAGATGCTTTTTCCTGAGGGATTGGGGCACAGGGAAGGCCCCGTTGCTCTCACGGACGGGTCAGGGCATGGGTGATGACGGGGCTCTGTGCACGGGCCGAGGGGTGAACGAGCGCACCCAGAGGGGCCCCAGGTACCGCCGCCACCGCAGGGAGCCACGCCCCGAGCTCTGCTTTGAGGCCAGGTCTGTTCCAGCGCTGTGCCCACCCGTTCCCACCGGGGCACCACGCTCCGGCTCCACAGCGGGGGGGTCCCGGGCCCAGTTACCTCCAGTGCCGTCACCGCGGGTGAAGTCTCCCCCCTGGATCATGAAGTCCTTGATCACGCGGTGGAATTTGCTGCCCTTGAACCCGAACCCTTTCTGGAGATGGGGGGGTGAGGAAGGGCAGTGAGGAGCGGGGCCGGGCCGGAGCCCCCCCCGCCCCGAGCCGCGAGGCCTCACCTCTCCCGTGGCCAGCGCCACGAAGTTCTCCACCGTCTTGGGCACGGTCTTGCCGAAGAGCCCGATGACGACGCGCCCCGCATCCTCCTCCCCGATCCGCAGGTCGAAGAACACCTTGGCGCGGGCACCGCTGCCGGTGAGGGCGGCACCAGCCGAGCCAGCCCGACCCGCACCCCCGCCCCCGTCACCCCAGGCCCGCACCCCGGCTCCCCGTTCCCCCGACCTTGGCCGTGACCTTGGGTCCCTTCTTGCGCTCGTCGGCGCGGGTCGCGGCGGGCAGCAGCAGCAGGAGCGCGGCGCCCAGCGCCGCCGCCGCCACCAGCACCTTCATCCTGCGCCGCTCGCAGCCCAGCCACAGCGCCCGCCGCACGGCCTGCATCCGGCCCCGCCCGCCTGTCCCCCGCCCCCCCGCGCAGTGGTACGGGCCGGGCCGCGTGCCCCCTCCCGCCCCGCGGCAGCCGCCCGGGCGCGACCAACGGCGAGGGAATGGGGGGTGGGGAGGAGGGGCCGCGCGCGCCTTCCGCCGGGCGGGGGCGGGGCCGGAGAGAGCCGCCGGGCGGGTGCCACGTTGCGTCTCGCGCGGCGCGAGGGACGGCGCTGATTGGCCTGGGCGGGGAAGGGGCGGGGCCACCACAGCGCGGGGCTGAGGGAGCTTAGAGCTCACCCAGCTCCAACCCTGTACCCAGCCGGCCTCCCAGTAGGACCAGCACAAGTGTTGTGGAGACAAGCTGCACACAAGGAGGGTCTCAGCACAGCTGGGGATGGTGCATGGGGTTCTGCTGCCAGAAACACCACCCGAATTGTCCCACACTTCTGGCGTGCAGAAGCTGGGCAGCGGCCTGAGCATGGCTGATCATCACCTTGCTCATGAGCACCCAAAGAGGAGGCTGCATGTCTGATATCATTGTCTGCTTTGTCTGGCAAAATTGGACCAATCTGATCTGTCATCCAGTATGGAAATGTTGTTGGACCAATGATGGATACTGCCTGTATGTGCCAGTGTTATAGAATCCCAGACTGGTTTGTGTTGAAGGGACCTTAAAGCTCCTCCAGTTCCAACCCCTGCCACGGGCAGGGACCCCTTCCACTGGAGCAGCTTGCTCCAAGCCCCCGTGTCCAACCTGGCCTTGAGCACTGCCAGGGATGGGGCAGCCACAGCTTCTCTGGGCACCCTGTGCCAGCGCCTCAGCACCCTCACAGGGAAGAGCTTCTGCCTAAGAGCTCAGCTCAGTCTCCCCTCGGGCAGGTTCAAGCCATTCCCCTTGGCCTGTCCCTACAGGCCCTTGTCCCAAGCCCCTCTCCAGGTTCCCTGCAGCCCCTTTAGGCACTGGAGCTGCTCTAAGGTCTCCCCTTCAGGAGCCTTCTCTTCTCCAGGCTGCCCCAGCCCAGCTCTCTCAGCCTGGCTCCAGAGCAGAGCTGCTCCAGCATCTATTACATTTACATTATTGTGTCTCTTATTATGTTTAAGGCTGGGAAACAGAAGTATAAACCGTGTCCCGACAAAGACCCCAGTGTGAAACAGTGTCCAAGCGGGATCAGGAGCTCCCACCAGTCGTGCTGCAGGGGCTCTCCCTGTCTGGGTGCAATGAAAGCTGCTTTTAAAAGATGCTGCATTTGGTGGCAGGGGCACTTCCCTCAGTGCCTTCCTCTGCAGTGAGAACAAAGCAGCAGAAGGGATTTGCACACCGGAATCCTCCACAATGCTGGCGCTGAGCCCACGGAAGCAGCACAGCGCTTGCCCCTTCTGCATGATCCCCGGGAGCAGGCAGGGGCGCAGAGGGCGGTGGCATGGGGGGGCTCGGCTGTTACCCCGATGGGAGCTGCAGCCCCTCAGGCAGCAGACAGGGGCACACACACGGGAAGGGCCCTTTGACACCTGCAGCAGCAGCTGTAGATGCTGCTGCAGAGACAGGGGCCATGCAACAGCGTAATCAATGGTTTAGGCATTCTGCCACCCAGGGTGCTTGAAATGAGAGCGTGCAGGCACAGGGGAAAGAAAAATCAGTGTCATGATGCTGTGACCAAGCTCTGTGGGGCTGAGCCATCCATGGCTGTAAAGCATGAGGTGTTAAGCAGGCTGCGTAAGATCCCACACCACGCACTGTCCCCTCAAAAGAGAGCTCAGAGCTTCTCACAGGAGTGGAGAGCTGCCAATAGTGCCCACCAGAAACAAAGAGAAAGAGAACAGAATCACAGACTCAACCAGGTTGGAAAAGCCCTTTAAGCTCACCCAGTCCAACCATTCCCAGCACTGCCAAGGCCACCACTAACCCATGGCACTGAGGCCCCGTCTCCACGCTGTGTGAACACTCGCAGGGACGGTGCCTGCAGCCCTGCCCTGGGCAGCCTGTTCCAATGCCTGAGCACCTCTGGGGCAGGAATTGTTCCTCAGCTCCATCTAAACCTGCCCTGGTGCAGCTTGAGGCCGGTTCCTCTTGTCCTGTCACTTGTAACGTGGGAGCTCAACACAGAAGTGACACTGTCAGGCGAGGTAACAGAATAGGTCTGTTCATGGAGAACAATGCAGCAGTGCAATGTTTTATTGAAAAAAATAATAATAACCATGTCACTTGATACCTCAGAAGACTGCATCGCAGCGTTGGAGGGCCAGGCGCGGGGCGCTGCTCCTCGCACCCCTGGGGCCCGGTGCCGATGACCTCGGGTGAGAAGTGGCCCAGGCAGGCTGAATGCCCTGCTCCCACCACAGCACAGCTGGCTCAGTCTGGCTTGTGTCTCCTGGTCACCCCGAGCTCCCTGGGGCCAGCGCCTTCCTCAAGCACTTGCTGTTAACCCACTTCAGTTTCCTTCTGTCAATGAAGCCACCCCACATCTCTGCCCTTTTGAAGAGTCCAACGTACGATTCTAGTGCAAGAGGGCTTGGTACAAGTGAGCATTACCAGCATGCCGCGGGGGGGACAGCCCTCCCCTACAAACACATCATCGTAGGATTCAAAGAACATCGTATCTCCAGAGAGAAGTGGGAGTGGGTCACTGTGAAACAGCTTCCAAACTGACCCACTTAAAAACAAGGTCAGGAAAGTTCTAAACAATCAAATACATTCACTTAAAAAAACCCCGAAACAACAAAAAAAAAGAGAACAAAACAAAAAAAAACATTTAAGAACAAAACCTGTTGAGATGGCCCCTTCCCCCCAGCCCTCCCTCACCCTGCAAACACTTACATATGCTGCAACTACAAGCTGCTCCTTGACCAGAGGCAGCAAGGAATGACCAAACACGGCAGGAGATGCAGAAGGAATCGAGTTCTGGTGACAGGCACTTAGTGGGGCTTGGGAGGGCAGCAACAGAAGTGTCTCAGGGCCTGGCTCCATCTCCCTGGAGGACGCCTGTGCCCCTTTCCCCCCCTCCCAAGTCACCAAACCATGGTTTCCTACAGCAGAGGGCAGCGCCTGTGCCACACATGGGGCTTCTGGAAGCTGCTGGCAGCGGAGGAGCTTGGAAAGAGAAGGGTGGAAGGTGGCCGTGGTCCTGCACTCCCGCTGGCAGGAGGGGCCGGGGCGTGAAGCGCCTGGGGGAGGTGAGCAGTGCCCTTCCTGCCCTGGCCGTGGCCTGGGGAAAGTGCTTTGCAGAGGGGGAACGTTCACGTGTCTCCTGGTGGGTGCATGGGCAAAGGGCTCTGGGCATGAGAGCTGCACTCGTTGGGATAAGGCATGGAGAGGATGCGGTGGGGAATGGTGAAGAGACGCCCTAAGGGGATCCTGCCGAGGAGGCTTTTCTGCCCCAGCACCACAGCAGTGTCTGCCTGCTTCAGGGATGCACGAAGAGCAAGCCCAGGAGGATCTCCTGCCCTCTAAGCCTGCTTCTGCCCACCCACGGGAGCAAAACCTGGGATTGCTGCTCCATGAACTCCAAGACATGCAGATCATCCTTAAAACCAGTAAAAGATGATGAGATCTAGTCTCTCCCTTTCCTCCCTTCAAGCTCTCTGGGACTCTGGGGAAGAGCCAGGGCCAAGTTTATGACAGCCCCTCAAGTGAGCAGCTGCAGCCTGGTCAGGTGTCACATGCAGAAAGACAGAGTACAAGGAACCTATTCACAACCTTCCCAAGAGCTGCTCACGTTCTCCCACAGCCCTGCTGTGTCTGTGGTAACCCCCCTGCCCCGGGCAGCCTCAGCTGCAGCAGGATGCAAGATGAAACGTGTGCGAAGCCCCGAGCCCTTTGCTAGCTACTGGTTTGGCTCCAAGGTGGTGTATGAGAACCATGGCTTCTGTGGGGCTGGATGGCCTCCCACAGGCCCCAGACCCATGCGAGCAGGGAGGACATGAAGGCGATTCCAGTCAAACCTATCTGACCATCTGGAGATGAAATCAATGTTAAGGCATGAAGTGTCCTTTCCCTGCCGTGGAAGCTTTGCTCCTGCTAACGTTTTCACATGGAAGGTACGAGTTCACAACCCCCCTACCAGAGGGGTCTGAGGAGGCTGCCTCCTTCCCCTGCTTTGGGAAACGGCTGCCTCCCAGTCACATTAACCCAGCTCTACCTCTTACGCAAGAGCAAACTCCTCCAGCTCAGCAAAGCCGATGCTGCTCCCTTCTGCCAACGCTGGGCTATAGCCTCGCGTCCCCCAGCCAGTCGGGTGTAGGAAACCATGGTAGGGACATTCACCGGTACTGAGGAAGGGTGACTGAAAATTCAAGTATGCTTTCCAGGCCCCAAGGCAGGCGTCGGGAAGCCCAGACTGGCACGAGGGTCATGCGGATGTCCTCAACATCCCCACTCAAGGGCTTCCTTTGCACCCCTCCGCCTTCCCCGCTGAATGTCTGCCCGCGCCGGCGCTGCGCAGGGATCCACAGATACAATGTGCATCTGTAAATGCTAAACATAATAAAAAGTGCAATGACGTCAGCTTCGTTAAAACAATCCACGTTGCTCTGTTACCGTCAGAGGAGGGAGGTGTCAGGGGAGCCGCAAACAAAAACCCTAACTGGAACAGTAGATTGCAAATTTCTCACAGCTTGCACATTACAGTGTAACTGTTCCCAAGGAGGCCAAAAGGGAACCTGTCTCTCACTGCTGCAGCAGTCAGGCCCTTCTCCCTCTGCACCCTCCTGCCCTCTCTACAGCCTACGGTATGTCTTCGCTGGATTAAGGAGGGAGGAGGACAGAGGAGCAGAGGGTGCAGGGGAGGGAGGGAGGAAAGTGAGCAGGAACTAAGCACAGTCCTCAGGTTTGCGTGAACGATGCCTTCGCCGTAAACAACGGGAAGGAGGGTCAGCCAGCCAGCCCCCCTCCCAGGGCGACCAAGACCTGAGCCAGCCACAGTCCTGGTCCCAAAAGGAGCTTCAGGCTTGGAGTGAACGAGGGAGACCATTCAGCAGATCCACCCCAGAGTGGTTTGTTTTGGAACGTTTTCTTCTCTTTTTGGTTTAAAAAGTCAATTTTTTTTTCTTTTTTTTTTTTTTTTTTACGTTTTTCTCTCTTCCTTCTCTGCCTCCTCCTCCTTCCCCCTAAAGAGAAGCCCCTTCCAGTGAGACAGGGCAGGAGCTGCAGGCGAGGTGGTTCCTGCACGGCCCAGGAGGCACCGGTCACTTGTGACGCTGAGCCGTCTTCTTCCGTTTCCTCTTAAAGAAGCAGCAGCACCTGGGGCACAAAGGACAAGGCAGGTTAACAAGGGACCCGACCTCGCACCCCGCAGCGCACCCTGCAGTGACCCCACAGCGCACCCCGGCTCCTGCCGCATGCAACAGCCCCTCTGCGCGCCCGGCCCAGGCAGCCCCGCCGTCACTGGCCGGGGCGCAGATGCTGGTGAAGGTTGACACCACCAGCATGGGCTCATAGACCAGCAAAGGGATCTCAGCTGCACACTGGGGCCCAAAGGCTGTGGGTAACAGCGTGGCACAGCAGCCCCGAGCGTGGGGCTGTCTCCCTCACAGCTCGACTGGGGCAGGAACACAAGGAGCCATGTGGGCAAGCAGTAAAACAAGGATCCAGATGCTCCCTCCGCTCCCTCTGTCAGAACCCCGGAGGAAGTGGGCTGGGACAGTGATCCCTGGCTGCTCTTCCCAGCTACACACAGTTTCCACCACCATTCACTCACTAAGAAGACAAGTTCCAAAGAGAACTCGCATCAGGGCCCAGCTTTCTTTACTGAACCTTTCATGACAACCGAAGCTTCCACCTCACATCAATCATTCAGTGCTGGTGGCAGAACCCCTGCTTCTTCCCCCATCCAATGCGAGGGAGGTGCACAGCGCCCGGGATTAGGGGAAGCAAGAAGGATGGATAGTGGAGGCTGGGATGGGGAGAACACCACCTGCCGCAGCTGAACTGTGGGATATGCTGACGGCAGTTGCCCAGGTTTTGTAGTCCTGCTGTTTCCTACAGAATTCCCTGGCGTTTAAGGTGTATCCACCTTTCTATCCTCAGCCCTCTGTCAGAATCCTCTGCACAGAGGAAAGCTGATCTGCGTGCTCTGCTCCTGCACTACACGTTTTTCTGCTGCCATTACAGCCATGCCCAGGGAAGCCTGGGTGCTGGTGGAAGGGATGCCTGGCTAAGCCACCAGAGCAGATGTGAGTATGCAAAGACCATTTTTCCCTACAAAGCATCTTTCACCAACAGCCAGACCAAAAGTGTTCAAAACCACTGTAACAACTGCTCCAAATTGTTTTCTGTGGTGCTCCGAATTGTTTTCTTCATGCTCTGAAATGTCAGCATCGCACCTCCATCCTCTCAGAGCTGGAGGAACAGATCTGTTCTCATTCCCACCACAGAAAGTGCTTGCCCCTACAGGGTGTAAAAGCGATGGGTGACCACCACACCCCTGTGAGCCAAGCCCACCAGCATGGGCTGTCTGCTGGGGAGACCAGAACCCCCTAAACCTGGAGAGCTCAAGCAGCTACTGTGAGAAGAGGGCTGCCCCCACCACGTAGTCCTCTGACCTGCATGGACTAAGGGCCAAGGGAAGTTTGACAGCCACAGTTTGTAGGTTCCTGCACAGGCCCAGTCTGGAGGTGAGACAAGGAAACAGACAGCACTTGTCCTTGCAGGAACACGGGCTCAGTGGCCTGTGATGACTCCATCACTACCCACCCAGCCTGACCTTTGCAGCACAGTCTGAAGCACCATCCACCCAAGGCTCCTTGTGAGCTTTTACCTTCCTTACCCCAGGACTGGTCTTTTATTGTCCAAGGCCATCTCCCACTCCTGCTATAACCTACTGCAGTATTTCTCTCCCACAGCAGCCACTTTCCTTTGTGACTTGGGCAATGGTGAGTAAGGGGGGGGGGATGTTATGGTGAGAGAGGATGGAAAATGCATGAGTTATGGTTTCGCATGCAGCGGGTAAGGGAAGAAGAGGGCTGAGCAGCACTTGTTTCCTTGGGCACTGAACGAAGGGAGCTGACTGACTTCTGGCTGTTTTCCCTTGTGACTGTCTTTTAATGCTCTTACTCAAGAGGTCCAGGGAAGGGTTCAGGAAAGGAAGCCCTGGCAGTTCAGACAGGCAGAGGCAAAACACCAAAATAAAAGAATAAGGCAGGCTGACAGTTACAGAACGTGATCTCTCGCATGCAGACAATGCCCAAGAGAACAGCCCCAGACTACGACATACAGAGAAGCCAGAGATGCCAGAGGTATTGGAGGCAATGCCTATGGAAAGCAGGGCAGAGGCGGTCAGTCTCCCATCCAACAAGGCCATTCCTCGCCGCACACGGCTTTGTCACCTTGCTCTGTGCTGATTCTAACCCATCAGCCCTCCCTGGGACCTACAAACTGCTCATCTGAGCATCCACTTGGTCCTCAGCTTACTGGGAACGTGGTTTCCCCAAGGGGCAAGGAGGGAGGGAACAGATCCTTGGGACAACTTGAGACGGGAACATTAAACTTCAAAACCCTCAGAAAACCATACATGTGCCTGAGCTGGGCTTGGAGCGAGGCTAAGCCCAACCCTTCTGCCCTTCCCTTCCTGGAGAAGCCTGTTCCCCTGCACCCTTAGCTGGCAGCTGCAGGCACACTGGAAAGGAGCCATCTCCCATCCTCCCTCTCCAAGCAGGGGCTCTGTCACCAACAAGGTCTCCATGGCCATGTTTTCCATCCTCTCTAACAATACAGGCCCCTGCTTCTTCAGAGGAAACCCTCTGAGCAGTGACTGTCCCCTCCCCTCAATACCCAGCTCAGGGTTTTCCCTTCAGAACCGTCTGCGTGAGGAATTCCTGCAAGATGCTCGGCAAGCCTGGCCCCGACTCTGCCCAACTCCATTAGACACCATCTGCTCATGGACCTAACAGTTTGGGAGAGATGGTAAGCCAAATAGAAAAGGATTAAAATCCATGTTTTGCATCCATCAGTTCCAAGATCAGCCGAATTGCTCAGCCTAATGCGGCCGCTCAGATATAGCCCCCCGCCCTCCCCAGTATTGCATGTGGTCCTCAACATGGCCCTAAAATCAGAACAGCTCTGGGTTGGCTTTGACTTTGTGCCTTTTTAGGGTTTGGTCGGTTTGGTTTTGCCAACCCCAGTCTAGTCTGGTCCGCTCCCCCTTGCATGTGGACTGGAGAGAGGGACTCACCACAAGTTGAGCATTTTCAGGCAGCTACAGAGAGTGTAGAGAAAAAACACAGAAAGGAAGAAAGAGCAATTAGTTCACAGAGGTGGGATGAAAGCGTGTCACTGCAGCCATGCAAACATGCAGTGCAGACTGGCAGACACACACATGCCTGCCCGCCGCCCCCCCCAGCCCTCACACCACCTCTACCCTCGCCACGGTGCGCTGAGAGCTGCCACGCTTCCCAGGGCCCCCGGCCTCTGACAAACACAGCCCCTCTCTTCCATGAGGGCACCGGCCCCAGGAGGCTCTCATCTGGGGTTGGGATGAGAAAGGGGCTCTGGGCCACCAGGAGAGGAATCTGCTCTTGTCCCCCGCAGCTCCAGTGGCGCAAGGGCCAGATCATGTGAAACTCACGCTGGGGTCAGGAGCTCATCTCCAGCACACCCCAAAGCAGAAGCACTTGCACAGCTCCTCTGCCTGCTGGGAGTGCCAGGGAAAGACCGTTCTGCTACGACATCTCATCTCAGAACACTCAAACCCGCTCCTTCTAGCCCCTTCTGGCCCACTTTACTGCACAGCAGAATCCAAAACTCCCTCGCTCTCCTCATATAACTGATTTATGATCACAGATGCAAGGAAAGATGAAGCCAGCTCTCCCTGTGGCAAGAACAACAAAGCGGACTACACCTGGGTGTTACAAGAGACCCCAAACCTGTCAGTGCAAAGCAGCTTATGCTCTGCTCTCCAGCACCTCCAAAACCTACTTGGGACCACACAAAGAGGGGCGGGAGAGAGACAGAAGAGGCCCCTGTGTTGCAAGGCATAGCTTGAGTCTTTTCATGTGCCTTGACATCTCCCCTGTATGCACATGTGGGGTCTGGATCCTGGCCTCACTCAACAAGGTGCTGCAGAAACAGGCTGAAGTTGGCCAGATCTTTAGAGCTGGCTCTTCCTTGCACTGGGTTGTTGTATTGAGAACTGTTAAGGGGCAATGTTCCCCATCCTAGGCGCAATCCTAAGCCAAATGTCTGGGGGGCCCCACTTCAGTATGATCAAGACAGAGCCTGTGATACCAAGCTGGTGGTCTCTGCAGGCCACACCACCCATATCTAAGAGGAATACTGCCCAGTCCACAAGTTGCACCTCAAGATCTCCCACCACCCACCACTGTCCTTGATGAGGAGCTTGCACCAGAATCAGGGCTCGCTCCTTTGGCTGGCAGGAGAAAGTGTGTCTGCTGCTTGGGCACGTTGCTGCCAGCATCATGCCCTGGTCAGCTACCAGCCAGCAGGATCACACACCAGTGCTTCCTGAGGGACAGATAACAGACAGCAGAAGACCTTTGGGATAACCAGCGCTGGCTTCAGACTAATGCATACCTGGGGACCTTTTCCACCAACACACCCTTTCCCACGCCTGCCAGTTTTCCTCTTCACTCTCCCACAGTCTTTCCTAACCCAAGTTCCCACAAATGCTGAGACAAACAACATGGGACAAGCAACACCAGTGTCATCAGTCAAACTGGCAGTTGGGCAAAGTCACAGCACCAACCAGGTCAAAGGCAGCCCTGAGCCTATTTATCCCTCACGCAGGGAGTCTCAGGATTACACCATGACCTGCTGGGGTCCTGGTCTAGTTCAGAGGCAGCAAGAAGGTCCCAGGTAGAGGATCATGCGGAAGTGACATGATGGTGCCAGATGCAGCATGTGTGCAAAGGAGGCCAAAACGGTCAAAGCAACAACTTCATACATCAGTTCTCGGTCTTGACCGCAAGCTTCAGAGGAGAAGTCAGCTCAGGGGCAGCACGGCTCCCCCACACAAGCAGGAGACTTGCTTCTGGTTTCTCTCACTCAGCTTCCATTGGGTTGGATCAAGAGAATTCACAGAGAAAACTACCTGTCCGTGCAAGAGTTACTTCAGGACCATTGTGGATACCTGGCATCCATTTCTTGCAGCCAGAAATAAAGTGTGAACTTTCAGACCAACAATCTCTTCACTGAGCTGTGCTCAAACTACTCCTACACTCTCAGCACGAGTACAGTGCGTTCTCCTTTTGGAACAGGGGCTGCTCACCGGGATTCCTGCAATCAGTTCACATTATTTTGGTACTTGTGCTACACCGCTATCTTGCAATACATGCTCTGAGTAAGAGTTACGTTCTCCAGCCATGACAAGTGTCAAAAAGAAGCAGCAGCACTGAAGGCACCATGCACGAAAGCAGCAGTATGCAAGGAAAAAGGCATGGGACACGAGCATCGAGTACTTCACCACGGGTAAACATCCCCACTCGTTTCCCAGGAGGAGGATTAACGACCACACCTGTGGAAAGCCTATTTGTAAAGCAAACGTACTTAGCTTCTTCCACCACCTCCACCTCCGCCTGCGCTGTTATCGGTGCATTGGAGTGTGCCCCTGTTGGGTCGTCCACGTTCAGCTCCCCGTTGGTTGAACTGACCACCTGAAACACAAGCCAACACCCCGTTACGACACGCAGCCCTTGGACAAGATGCATCTCCACCCTCCTGGACAAGGGATGCTGTGGGAATGGGAACTCTGCAGAATAACTACCGTTTGCTCCTGTCTCTTTGCACGCTCTTAGAAGGCTGTCAGAATCCTTGCATGCCTTTGGATCACGTCTGGTTTGGAGAGACCAGCCTGGTTCTTCCCAAGCACAACAGCAGGCAGGGGACTAATTCAACACTCCTGTGCCCAGCACATGCCTTCTTCTCTTTGGGAGGCTACGCCATTTTGGGAGGGGTAGCCACTAGGGTGAAGATTAACTGACACCCCTATATACACATACAAGCTATTACAGAATCAGAGAATGGTTTGTGTGGGAAAGGACTTTAAGATCATCCAGTTCCAAGCCCCTGCTATGGGCAGGGATGCCTCCCACTAGACCATGTTGACCAAGGCCCAGTGCTGATATGGAGTGTGAAGGTGCTACCTGGTACTCCCAGTGGCTCTGGATGACCTGACCACCAGAGATGAAGGGAAGGAAGCCACTGAAGCACATGCCCCTCACTATTAAGTCTATCTGATTGTTTTGAAAGCTTAAGTTCTAAGAGCAACTGCTGTTTCTGCAGAACAGGTCCCGTGGCCAGTCTCTGCCAAGAGAGCTCAGGACTCAGCTCATGTGGTTTTCAGAGCTCTCCTCGAGTGGCAAGCCCTTCACAGCCCCCTTCCCAGACTCATCACACTGTGGGCCCAGCCAGGCTCCCAGACCCCCCACACTTCCTACAGAGCTTGATGAAATGCTACCACTTAATTATGCTATTCCCAGGGATCTTCCCACACTTTCTGCAGCTACTTGTTAAATTCCATTTTACAAAAGGCTTTGATTTTCCTCCTCTTCTTTTTTTAACGTGCTGCCGCTTCATTTGCCCATGGCAAATTCAACCCTTGCCTTGATGGCCACTCAGGACTGCTGACCTCCCAAGGTTTCAGCATGGTCGGGGGCCTCTGCTGAGAAACAGTTTAAGCACCTGCAGCCCAGCAGCCATGCACAGCAGCAGATCTTAGCTGCAGATAAGCACAATTTTAATGCTTAGAGTGGCACATACAGGTCTGTAAACTGCTCAGGTAGTCAACCCTCCCGAAGTCAGGCTTTGTGTAGCTACCCTGGCAGAGTACTGATCCTGGGGAGACACAGCTCATGCTGACTTTGCACATGGAAATTATTTCCCTTACATAAAAAAATATGAATAAACCCACCTATTCTGTACTTAGTGCTCAATTCACAGAGTCACAGAATGGTCTGGGTTGGAAAAGACTTTGAAGCTCATCCAGTTCCAACCCCCTGCCATGGAGAGGGACACCTTCCACTAGACCAGGATGCTCCAAGCCCGGTCCAACCTGGCCTTGAACACTTCTCCAGTTTACTGTCTGCTCACATCTGAGATCAGAGCTACACATGCTTAGTTCCTCTTTATCTTTCTGTTTCTCTGCTACTCAGTAAAATATCTTTAAATGAAAAAGGAATGTGGCCAATCAAGCCAAAAAAATCACTGAATGCAACCAAGCATCAGGAATAAGTGAAAAATTTCAACCCAATCTACATTTTACTTCGGGGCACCCTCCACTACCCATCTCCTCAGCTCCGTCCCACTCCAGGCACTAATTCCCATTTCACCAGAGCCATTTTCAGTGTTGTGTCTGACACTAGAGCCTGCTCTCCAAGCAAACCTCTGCCAAAGAGCTCACCTTGCCAGCAATATCAGATAGTTCGTGTTTGCTTGAATGACCCCTGCATCTTCCCCTAACGCATCCAGCATCTTACTCTGGCAGTAGTGCAAGAAACTTGCTTGGTAAGCCTGAGTGACAACCAGAGGCAGGCATGGTTTCATAAACAGAAGCAGTCTTAGCCCTAGTGCCAATCTTTAATGCTGTCTGGCACTATCATACATCCTCTGCTCATCCACCTTCCCCAGCAGCCATCCAGAGATCCAACTTGCAGCCACTGTGACTTTACACTGCTGCTGCTTTGCCATTGGATCCAAAAGTAATATGTGAACACGCTGGGGAGCAAGAGAGCAGGGTCACCAAACCTGTGAGTGCAGCAGCAGTGCAGCCCATCTCCTCTCCAACCCCAGTGCATTTCTACAGCCTGACACCCCTACAATGCCATGAAGCATTAGGAATCCAACTAATACCTCACTTATCAAGCCTGAATTGGAACAGCTCAACTATTTACCTAACATTGAAGGGGTTTATATGCAACAAACCTCATTTCAGCTGCTTCTTGCTACCTAAGAGCATCCTTAAGATAGGGATAGAGGTGTGCCATATAGAATCATATCATAGAGTCACAGAATGGTTTGGACTGGAAAGGACCATAAGCTCATCCAGTTCCAACCCCCTGCCATGGGCAGGGACACCTTCCACTAGAGCAGCTTGCTCCAAGCCCCTGTGTCCAACCTGGTCTTGAACACTGCCAGGGATGGGGCAGCCACAGCTTCTCTGGGCACCCTGTGCCAGCGCCTCAGCACCCTCACAATAAAAAACTTCTTCCTTATCTCTAACCTGAACTTCCCCTGTTTCAGTTTGAACCCATCACTCCTTGTCCTATCATGATAGTCCCTGATGAAGAGCCCCTCCCCAGCATCCTCGTAGCCCCCTTCAGACACTGGAAGCTGCTCTGAGGTCTCCATGCAGCTTCTCTTCTCCAGGCTGAAAAGCCCCGAAGTTCTTAGCCTGTTTTGTACAGGCAGTGCTCTAGACCAGACCTGCCAACATTCACTCCTTTCTGTGCTCAGTTTGGCAAATCTGAGTTCAAACTAGCTCTCAGAGGAAAAGCTTTGCTGAAACGGTAACAGCAACAATGTTGGCCATTGCATCTTGTGTTCCACAGAGCTTGGCTTGAGTGCTGTGTACCAGACAGGACCAAACCAGCTTGGGAAATCCCTCTTCTGACCATGATGTTACTGCAATTTGAGGCAAATTCAGGCGATCTAACGCAATTCTTTTGTCAAGAGGCAGAGGTACCTGTACTGATCCTCCATGCCGGTCTGCAGCCAAATGAGATGTCAGGTACGAGGTATTGGTCTGCCGGCTTGGCTGGATCTCCCACTCCCCTCGGCGATCTGATGACGCCTGTTCAGGTTCAGAAGCACAAGAGACACAAGAGAGGGCAAGAGGTGAACAAGGGGAAGAAACCAAAGGGTGGGTGTTAGTGAGTTAGTTTCTTTGCAAAAAGCAAGGCATTTAAACTTTTAGCTGAGCTAAAACTTCTCTTTATCAAGTACATCTCATACTTGACTTGAGCAGTGCCTGCAGTAATCTACTGCAGAGTGGATTTCTTCTCCTCTAGCTGCTAAATGAAGAGTAAGGTCAGATCTAGTCAGGAAGTTATTTCTTTATATGGCTTCATTTCCATGGGTTTCGGCATAGAAATAAACCCACTGACAACATGTTTAACTATATCTGTCAGGTCAGACACCCCAGAGCACTTGGCACGGCAGCAAGATCAGATACACAGGCTCCAGCTCCCTAGAAATGTGTTTTTAAACTCAAATTTACAACATAAAACAAAGGCACATTTTGTTTCACCAAAAGTCAGGTTCCCACTCTGCTTCCCCTGTCCAGTGCAGAAGGAAACACCCACCACACCTGCGTGGCTGGAGGGAGGGTTGGGGGCTTTTTGGTTTTCTGCAGAAAAGTAGGTAAGAAACTTTTGCCAACAGTTTCTTCTTTACCCCCAACAGAGGCAAGTTTTAGGCAACTAAATTATTAGAATTGTATCTGTTTTATTAAAGGAACCACTCTGCACTTGCAAGCGAAGCTCCTTACAGGTCACCCAGCTCTGGTGACAACACATCCAGAGCCCACCTAAGACCAGGAGGACCTCAGCCCAACCAAACCCCAGCAACCAGCTGGAGGAACAATTCCCAAGAGTGGGAAGATGTGTGTGAGCCTCATGCCAACAGCAGAGGACCTAGTGAAGCCTGAAGTGACCGATGGGACACATTTAAAAGGTGTCTCCCTGGATGCTGTATAAAAACATAAGCAAATGTTTCAAAGCTGAAGCATCAGTTTGAACAGAAGAGGCCAAAGCAGCGGAGTCCCCAGAGCACATGGGCCTGGGGGACACCATAGACCTGGCCAGGAAATGAGAGCTCAAGTGAATAAATACCAGGTTATCAGCAGTGAAGCTGAGTAGCTAACCGAGGAGAGGTGCACAGGCCCTGCCCTTGCCCAGCCCTGCTCTGTGTTACTCCCTGCCACCACGGGTGAGCAGTGCCACACTGAAGAGAGAAAGGAAAGAAAGAAAGAAAAGAAAAGGAAACGGGAAGTGTTCCAACCTCCTGCTCTGGGCAGGGACACCTCACACTAGACCATGTCACCCAAGGCTCTGTCCAACCTGGCCTTGAACACTGCCAGGGATGGGGCAGCCACAGCTTCTCTGGGCACCCTGTGCCAGCGCCTCAGCACCCTCACAGGGAAAAGCTTCTGCCTTAGATCCAACCTGAACTTCCCCTGTTTCTGTTTGAACCCATCACCCCTTGTCCTGTCTCTACAGTCCCTGATGAACAATCTGTCTTTGGCATCTGTCTTTTATAGTTAAGTATCTTCACTTCCTAGAGGAAGACTACAAAAAGAAGAATACTTTTTATTAGCATCTTTACTGGGAACCAAATACTATAAAAGAGAATCAGCAGTTATTATACCTGGGAACAAAACTAAGGCCATTAAATCTGGAGATCAAACAGTCACTTGACCCAAACCCATGTCCTCAGCTCACTGCTTGAGATGTTTAGTTTTTCTGCTTGTTCCTTTAGAGAAACCGTTTGCTCAGTACTTGAAAGAAACATCCCTTGGAAGAGAGTTGTTCGTGCTTTGGTGAGAAGAAACTGATTTCCCTTGCCTGTTTGGGTATTAAATAATTCAGCATCAGCATCATAAATCATGTTTAGGTGAGAAAAATGACAAAAGCTGCACTACAGCATCAAGGCTATTTGTGAGGCTCGGAAGAACATGGACTGAAGCTGCCTGCATAATATTTCGGGCCTAGGACAGATTTCTTTGGGTGACATACTGCATTTATGAGCTAACCTGCTTGAAAATGAAGCCGGGCGTCATTGTCCATTAAAGGAAACAAGATGCCTCATATGAAGGTCTGTGGTCAAAGCAACTAGAGACTGCCACCCAAAAAAGGGGTGGTGGTGTTAATGTATTAATCAGGCAATATATTAAAGCAGATTATTTTACTAGTACTCCCAAACCAGTCCACACTAATCAGCATGCATAAATACAGTACAGCATAAGGGCTTCAAACAACCCAGCTTCCTACAAGCAACACTTCTAAAGGGGCATGTTCATCCTGATTGTAGCTGATGGCCTGAGATCAAGTCTAGTCTATGTTAGCTGCTCTACCATCACAGCCCAGCTACATGGAACAAGGGGAGCTGAGCTCAGACAGGTTATTACATCTTACACTTGGATCTGCACTCACAAACCCCAGCCTGTGTGAGCTGAGTGGGAGCAGAGGTGGCAGACAAGGAGCTAGAACAGCACACAGCGGTTAGAGAGGCAGAGCGAGCCCAGAACCACTCACTGGGAAGTAAGAGCACCAACAGCTCTAGCTAGGAGCCGGCAGTTGGAGATCTACTGAACTTCTGCTCAGTTCTGTTAATACAGAAAATCCAAACTCTCAACACCAACAAGATATTACGACTAGAAAGGAAAAATGGGGAAATTCATATTCAAAACCTGGCAGTTGATCCGGACTGTGATGCCCAACCTCCCCAAGGGGACCTACTCTGGCAGTCGTGTATGCTCTGCAACACACCGTGACCTGAACACCCTGAGAAGGATACACTGGGAGTACAGGGGACACGCACATCCTTAAGGCATGGTCCATGGGAAGAGGGCACCTGGGGGCAGGCTGCCATCACCACAACTGTCCACATGCTGTGAGTAAAAGCTCCCAAAAGAACGTTGTGGCCAGGTAGTTGAGGTAGTCTGACCAGGCTGGACAGCTGACTTAAACAGCTTACCCACACACTACAGAAAAATGACCCATTTCAAATTGTACTCCACTTAGTCCAGGATCCTGAGGAATTCCACTGGCCAATACAGTGATACAGCAACCTGTTGCTTTAACAAAATTCTGCTCAAATCACAGTCTCCAGGAGCAGAAATTGTGTGTGCCATGACCCAGGTGAGAGAGCCCCATCCACCTCTAATGGCACATGGCTCCTGCTGCTCTGGTCCAAGAGGAGGTCAGAGGTGCCAAACAAGGTAGTGTTGAGCAGCTGTGGGCAACGCACCTGATTGCGAAGGGCCTGCTGTGATGGCCGATCCCTATGGATGTGGCTGTCTCTTGTTATTGCGGACGTCCCAGAATCTACATGAACAGATCCCACTGGAGTAGGCTGGAAAAGAAGGTGCTTGTTAGGGTGAAGCCAGTGCTGAAAATGCTGCTCACTCTCTCCCACCAGGTTTGCTCCCATGTGCAAACCTCACTTGTAAGGCTGGCTCCCACCAGGTAGAAGCAGAAAAACATCAAAACACTGCCCAGAGGTACTGACAGTAATCAAGGAAATTTAAAGCCAGGGCTCTAAAATCCCTGTGATTTGGTGGACACGTGATCTGACGTTGGACACCAGCACCAAATTTCTCGTATAAAAATGAATAAAAAAGATATAGTTCGGCCCCTGTATTGCTGTCAGATCCTGTGTGTCTCACACAGGTTATTACAACTGAAAACATGGACTTGTTTTCCTCATCTCATCGTCTTGCTGCTTCTAAAAATCACGCCTGCATAGAAACAGGATGTGTTAAAATAAAAGCTTCATCTGCTCTGTTCTCCCCAAAGTCATAATCCCTGCTCACAACACCAGAATCTCCATGGCAACCACTGCAGTTGTCAGCAACATCATGCTTGGTTTACAAGGTGCTTTTTATCAATTGCCTTTGTAATTAAACAAAAATGAGGCGAAAAATCATGATTCACAAAGGGAATGATGTCTTAGGAAAATGAACTGCTGTCGGTGCAGTAAACATGGGTAATGCTAAATATAGCTGGGATGGTAACTCACCAGCAATGGTGCTCAGTTTAGGACTGAAGGCACATGATCTGGCACCAGTGGCAATCCACTGATGGGTGCCTTTTCCAGTGTGTGGCAACTGGCCATTAGCAGGAAGGCCACCAGCAGGATGACACAGAACACAAGTGACAGGCAGCCAGCAGAAGAGCTTTGGACTCTTCCATCAGATCTCCCCATGACACATCTTTTGGCCAAACTGTTTTTGAGTGTAAATGGCTTTTGACAATAGATGCAAGGAGATCATGATTACAGTCATGATCTGGTGTCAGGGAACTGCTAAATGGAGCTTGATTACTCCCACATTTCCTATCAATGTCCTATAAAGAGCTGGCTCAAGCCTCCAGAGTAGGGTAAGCCCCAAGATCTTTTGTGGTTAGAACTGATTTGCTGTTACTATTCACCGAGCATCTGTCACCGCCATGCCTACATCTCCATATGGCTCAGTGAGAACTTGACCATTTTAGAGCTGAACTTGACCATTCAGTGCTGAGGCAGCAAGCATACGCTCCTGCTTCAAGATAGGTATCTTTAGATACTGGTTTCAAATCTTTTGCTAGACTAGAGGAAATTAAATCTGGTCATGTTCATTGCCACAAGTGGGAAAATCAGGTTTGAACTCCCACCAGGGCAAGTCCAAAGAGGTCGGAAGGGGCCTTCTGCCCCTCAGGGAAACTTCAAGGCACTGCAAGAACCCCCTGAACACCACGTCAGGACATCTCACTGTGTTAAGCCCATGTTAGCTAGAGAGCAGAAGTGAAAGACTCGATCCTAAGCTCACTGGTATTAATTTGGATTATCAGGCACAAAGAGCCGGGTGGTGGGAAGCAGCACCTGGAAAGCCAGGCCCTGCATTTTGCACAGACAACTTACAATTGGCCTGCCAACCCAGTCATAGGCGTAGTCAAAGGTGTAACCTTTCTTTTCAAACAGCTCTGTGAAGATGGTTCGTAAATAATCGTAGTCTGGTCTCTCGAAGAAGTCTAACCGCCGAACGTAGCGCAGGTACGTGGCCATCTCCTCTGTTGGAAAGGGGGAGGAAGCAGCAGCGTCAGTTCTGCTCACACGTGAGCTCCTTCACTCACAAGCCTCTCAAAGCCAACACACACACTGGAACTATGTGCCCATTAACTCCAGCAAGGCTTTCCATGGTACTAGGCTTAAAGCTGGGCTGAGGGCCGCATCACCAGTGGCATGAGTTATCCTGGCCCTGCTAGGTTCAGCTGAGCCATGTGGATTGACGGAGGCTGAGGATATACATAAGTCTTCACCATCAGTGACCTACTCAACAGCCTTCTATTGCTGCATGAATCTCACTCAGCTTTCCAGAGCCCTCCCACCCTGCCCAAAGTCTAATAATAGTCTGCTTTTATTCTGAAACTTCTGAACAAGTTGTTAGAAACCAAGGTCTGTGTTTTAGCAACGAGCATCACGCTGTGAGAGGATTGTCTGGGCTGTCAGTGCTACCTCTGGCTTGTCCCATAAAAACAGTGGGGTTTGGTAACAGCAAAATCAATCCAAACACTTCTCAAGCAAAGATGGAAGTCCCACCTAAGCTCCGGAGAGCTGCTGCTCCACCTCAGATCTGAGCTCCACAAGTTTTACGTTCTATATTTGGGTAAAACCAAACACTAAAACACCAGAAATGCCAACTCACTGAACCTGCCAACAGGATGCTCACATGTATGTTTGCACACAGACGTTTAAAATAGCCACGGCAATTTCATCTGGGAAGGAAAGCAGGAGATGTTGGTGGGCACCCTGTGGCCCCTCTGAGCTCCAGCAACAGCCAAGGTCTGGCTACCCAGAGCTCTGTGCTGCCCAGTATCGTTACATCAGTCAGAGCCTTGACCACTCAGAACAAGACTTTGAATGGAAGGCTGCAACATTTGTTTGCCTGGCACACACAGAACAGTATTTGGTGTTAAGCTAATTAATGGATTTCTGAATCTGGGTTGTACTTTGCATGCACAGAGGACTGAGCCCTGGTAACTCATGTCCTGCCCCTTCCCAGCTCTCCCTAAGCCAAGATAGGATGTTTGAGCAGAGCTCGGTATGATGCACAAGTCTGTGCACTGCAGTGTGGCTGATACACCAGCATGGATTTTGCCTTCAGCTAACAAAACTAAGAGCAGCATTGCTCATCAATACTTAACTCTGCCTGAGGCTTGCAGCCTGCATGTCACATGGAGCTAAAACATGGAAAAAAGGAGGAGGAGAAAGGTAATCCCTTCTTCCTCTAATATCTCTGAAAGGTGGAGACCAAGAGGTTTCAGGTAAGCAAGGAACAGAAATAAGTTCTCATCTCCCTTCAGCCCAGACCTGCAGGTGTGACCGAGCTCTGAAAAAGCGGTACTGGGGAAAAAGATGAGAACAGCCAACCTGAAGGTGGTTTGCTCAAAGCCAGGTGGATTTGGGACTAACTACATCTGGGGAATTAGCATGACTTGAATGAACAACAATCCCCTTCCAGGCTTGCTGCTTCTCATGCTGGAAAAGAGCAATGTGACAAAATGGGAATGAAGACTCGTTGTGGGGACCTGGGTGCTCATGATTTCAAAAAAACCAAAACCCACAGGGTACTGGGGGAGGGGTTTAACTTTGTGCTCTGCTCTCCCAGCCCCGAGCTGAACTTCTGTTTAACTGCAGAAAAGGTGTTGGGCTTGGCTAGAACATCTTTAGTAACACTCTCAATAACATCTGACAACACTCTGCTCAAGACTGTTGTCAGAAGGTGGAATTCAAGGACAGACACATCATTCCATCTCCTAAGCTGGCCACCTACAGTTCTAATACCTGTAAAACCTTCAGTCTGCAATCTAATCAACTCAGTAGGTCCAACACAGTCACTTGGGAGAGGGAAAATAGTGAGGCTCCCTTTTGGAAAGAAGGCCATAAGCAAAGCAGGAACATGAGGCTCTTGAGCCTTGTGCAGCCTCCATGGTGAGAAGAGTTATGCTCGTTTTAAGCCACAGCCACAAGCCCCTCAGGCTCCATGAATTTATAGCAGCAGCTCCAGTTGTTTGCCAGCCTGAGGGACAACATAATGGATACACATCATCCAAATACTTTTTGCCAGAAAAGCTCAGAACCACCATATTTAACGTATGTCCGGCTCCTACTGCACTCAAATGTTTCCATCAGGGCTTTACCTGGAAAGTTCTCACAGAGAACTTCAACCGGAGTGTTTCTCTTTGTGTCCCCAATCTTCTGATACCTCTCTTTTAAGGTGTCAGCCTGTAGCGCACAAAGACAAAACAGTTGTGGAGAAAGAGTTCAACCATGTGATAAACGACATGCTGTATGGGAAGAAAAACAAGGTATTTAATACCAGTGCTGGGTGGTATCAGAAGATGTTACTTGTAACTGAGCTGCACCCTAGACTACACTAGCAGGAATATTATCTCACCCTGTCACTACACATTTTACATGCTGTAGGCAAAGAATATCCAAGGACACATGTGAAACATCTTCAGTACTTGAAAGGAAGGACACTTGTTAGTGTCTTACAAGGCTAATTTCTTATCAGCTCAGTCTTAAGGACAGGATAGAAAAGCCTGGATGGGACAAGAAAACAAGGCTGCATGTACTACAGTTGCACATCAGTACTCCGTCCTGGGTTTAGAGCCATCGGCAATCAAGATGCCTTCAAAAACAACCGTAAAAGTAGATAAATTGCATCAGCAATTTGAGACTTCCTGTGTACAACAGAATGCAATCACACGGATAACTAGTTTACAGCAGTCACGCTTCTCCAAAATCCCATCTACTCCCATAGTGCCTCTCCTTTCACCCCCAAACTGTCTGTCACTGAGGTAGCACTGACTAAACATCTGGTCACCAAGAAAATGAAACAAGCTTCAGCTAGATTTCCCACCTCCATCCCCCTGAAGCAGAGAGCTCTGCTCCCGTTGGCGCCTCCATTTTAAAACATGCCAATCAGACCTGGCAGCAGCATCATTAGCATTGTAAGATGTTCTCTCAAGACCTCAGCACTGACAGAATACACCGAAAGTGTAAGCTGGGGAAGCCTAGAAGAGTGAAGATGCCATATTCTAGATGAAGCTGAAGAGTCTGTGTTTGTTCTGGAGCAAGGACTTCAAGAAGAGCTCAACTAATTCTTATCAAGTTCAGCACTGAACTGAGCAAATTTTGTAGAACCTTGTCTAAGCCTGGAATTATTTAAGAATAATTTACAGGATTAATTTAAAGGAGATGAGCTCAACCAAGCCAGAAACAAGATAGGTAATAGAATAACACACTTACAGAGGTGTGAAGTAAAGTCAGAGAGGTTCTGATTTCTTTCAGCAATTATTTTCATGCCTGATAAACCCTTTCTTTGCTTTTATGAGTTGTCACCAACATTTCTGGCACATAACAATAAGGCTAAACTGAGACTAACTCTGGATAGATGGTGACAGAACAGCTTAACAAGGTCTACCACCCAAGCCACTGCCACTGACCATAGCAGCACTCTGCTGAGCCCCTGGTGAGCCCAAACACTTGTCTCCTTTTTCCAACAGTACTAACAGGAGTTACTGTCTTCATTAATAAACCTGCTCCTGTTCGATCCCTTCATTCACTGCCATTACAAAGTTGAACACAGTTGCTTAATCATCAATAAAGTGATGGAGAAGTGAAGGTGCAGCTACCAACAGCTTCAGAGCCAGCAAATGACTTACTACTAGTTAATTCAGCTGACGGATGTCAGCTGCAGTTGCTGTAATTCAATTGCTTGCAGCCCTCCACATTGTACATGGCATTTCATAAACTTCTAAGCACTGAATGTCCAGTGCCTCTGGAGGGAAGCCAAGCTCCGTAGTTCTGCCTGAAAACCCGTTTTTCAAGCTGAAGTCCATCTGCACATCTAAAGCCATCAAACTGCTCCTGTTATAACCACATTTCACAGCTGCAGCTGGGGGATTGTGTGCTGTAACCAGGATTTCATAAACAACCACTGTGTCCCAGTTGCACTCCATCTTGGGGCAGCTCCATGCTCCAGCAAAGCTGCTCCCACAGCTCAACAGCTCTCTCACTGCTGTCCCAGTTCCAGCCGCTCATCTGCCTCTGCTCAATCCTCTCTCCAGATTTGTACCCATTCAGCTAATGGCAACTTGAAGTGACAGGTAACATATTTCTATCTTAAAATCTTTCCTGTAGGTAAAGCTAACGCCTTGTTTTTAGGCTTCAAGGACACCTTTGGTGTGCTTCTAACTGGCTTTTGGAAATGTTTACCCACCAAGTTCTCGTTTGGGCAGAGACCAGACTAAGTTTCCAAGGGCACAACCTAAAGCTCAAACCTACCTTCAGTCCTTGCCAGGGCAGACTGCCTCGGAGGAAATACATGAACATATGGCCAAGGGCTTCCAAGTCATCTCGACGACTTTGCTCTAAAACAAAAGAGATGACAAATTATGCTGCAGCTGCAGGGATGGATCTGAGAGCTGATCAGTAGTTACACCTACATCCAAGACACAGGGAAGTTCACTTGCTGCCTATAGCTCAGATCTCGTGCAAAACCATCTAGAAGCTGTTACAAAACCCCATAAAATACATGAAGATCAGCTAGAAGGCATAAAATAACATGGGAGCTGTTAAGACACATTGCCCAGCATTAGGTGAACTGGATGAGAAGAATAAAGAGGAATAAAGCAGTTCCCCAGTTCTCTGGACTGCCAGTGCTGAGGGTGCACCTGTGATGTGGTGCTGGATGATGTTATTTCCTCTGAATGACATAGGAACAGGCAGGGGATGCTTGCAACCAGCTGCAGGGAACTACCATGTTGTTGTGCCAACCCCTTCTCAATTGCTTCTGCAGCTCATCACAGCAGAGCAGATCAAAAATAGCTCTTTTAGCACTGTTTTTCCTTGTGAAACACTTGCTGCTGTTGCCATGCAGATGTTATGATTATAAATGAGGGGGGAAAAAAGAGGCCTCGAGCCAAAGGAAGAAAGCATCCTTAAAATTATCTAACAAAAATGTATAAAAAACCCCATGGGAGGAGTAAGACAGAACAACAAATGTGGAGTGCAACAGCATGGGAGTGCTGCTGTGCTGGGCGGCATCATGCAGACTGGGGTCTGCTGAGCTTGCAGACTGATTTTATGCAACCTCCTCTCCTCTGAATTTCAAACAAATAAAGTGCTCCACGGCCACAAGCTGGGGCAGATCCAGCCCACACGCCATGACAAACTGTGTGTGAGCTGTCCCTGATGCTGCATCATCTGCAAGGTGGCAGCGCTTGGCACAGCATGGCTCTCCACCAGCAGCAAATTTAACCCTCAGAATATGGTGGGGGTGAGAAAACTCAGCAGAAGGAATTGAGATGACAGTTCCTGCAAGTTACCCTGATATAGCTGTAAAAACGGAATAAAACCCAAGAGAATGTCCTAGGTAATTTAGTGCAGTGATGCAGATGAACTGCTCAGGAAGATGGTTGAGTGCATTCATCTTTCAGGAAAATGGCAGTAAGACTCCTTTGTTCTGGAATGTGAAGGGACTGACTTCACCTGGGTCTCACCAGCAAAGCATCCGCCCCACAGAGCTGCTCTGGGCAGCCCCAGCCCAGCCCAGCATGCATCAGCAGCCAGCAGCCAGCCTTCCCTCCCAGACTGACTCTTCCCTGCACTGGCCACTGCCTGAGCTGCAACACCTGCAGAGAAATGGGTCCTACAGAAGGCACATGGTGTACTTCAAATGCAAACACATCTTCTTCCACATCCACCCCCCATCTGAGCCTGCTCCCACTGCAGCTGCTCATTCCTTCATCCCTTCCTGACCCTTCACCAGCCTTTTCAAGATTAGAAGCTGGACTTATCCCTCCTTACACCCAAAGGGACCGAACTCTCCACAGGATGCGAGCGATGCCTTCATCACATACTTGGGAGGCTACTCAAGGAATATTCCATTATCTTACTGCTCTTACAGGTTTAAGTGAATATAAACATTTAATAAGGTTTTTTGCCTTTCAACCACAGAAATGTAATTTTCTGGTATGAGAGAAGGCAGTGAGGAGAGAAAATGAAAGCCATGTTTAAAATGAGTTAAATCAGTAATTTTCTCCAACCAATTATTAGGTCAAGGAACATCCAACTCCAACACCCGTAACTGAAGGTCCTGGTTACTTTGATGCTCTATAGCTCAGCACAGAGCTGTGCTATAAAAATCTATTTGGTCATCATTTAGTGCAGCAGTTACTACCCGCCTACTTGCCTTTTATCAGTGCTGGGTTGCTTCCAGTTATTTAGTTCCTAATAAAAACTATAATTATGAGGCTTTCAACATTTCAGCTGTCTCAATCCCACAAAAGGGGAAAAGAAAAAGCCTCACAACTGTAAATGCAGAGGTTTACAAACAGCTCAAAGGGGAGGCACGAGCCATAATAAGCCAAGCTACCACTGGAGGTCACGGCAAGCTCCCACCAACCACACAGACCTTTGCCAAGATGGGTGTTGATGGACATGTATCTGGCTGTTCCAGTTAAGCTCTTGTGTTCCCTGTAAGGTATGTGTTTTTTGGTTTCCGGGTCAATGTACTCCTTTGCCAATCCAAAGTCTATGATGTGAATGACGTGCTCTTTCTTGTTGCCTTGCCGGCCGATAAGGAAGTTTTCAGGCTTGACATCTCGGTAGATGAGGTTCTTCGAATGCACGTACTCCATGCGAGATATCTGCAAAGCGAGGAGCAAAAGTTACCTGCAAGCAGAGCAGCCTCCATGCTCTCCTGGCTAACGGGGCTGTGAGGTTTTGATACCTGTCACCGACCCTCAGCTCAGAAATACACCACAGATGAAAAGAGCCATGGCAGCAGTTAGGACTGGAACTGGATGGAGCTCCTCTGATGGAGTCAGAAGAGGGATCTGCCATCCCCTCCTTTCTGTGGCTACCATACAGTGCTCCCTGACTTGAATCCTACGGAAATGTCCGTAGGAAAACAGAAAGGCTGTTTCTGAAACAGTATCACCAGGACACAGCATTTGGAATGATGCCATGGGGACCTGCAGCAGCATTTTTGTACTGATTTTAAACATATTAAACTGGTTACCAAGAGCTCTTCCCTTGCTCATGGCTGCCCCTTGTTGGTCTGTGTCTTACCACCTTCCTCCCTCGACCCATATGTTGTCTTAAGACATGCCAGATTCTTCATGGAGGGGGATTTTGGGGCAGGTGGAAGCCTTACGATCCTCAATGCTGACTAAAAATCACAACCTCATTGGCTGCCAACTAGGAACAGCTGGAATATTTTCCAGCTGCTGACTCACTTTGTTCTGGCAGTCTGACTGAGAAGGAAGGGAAAAGGGAATCCCACTTCCAAGCTGATGAAGGATCACTACCTCTCTAACAACACTTCTCATCCAGATGCTTATCATTAATCATAGAATCATAGAATAGTTAGGGTTGGAAAGGACCTTAAGATCATCCAGTTCCAAACCCCCTGCCATGGGCAGGGACACCTCACACTAAACCATCTCACCCAAGGCTTCATCCAACCTGGCTAATCTTGCTTTTGAAGCTAAATATATTGCAGGTGAAGCCTGGACAGGTCACCAAGCAGTTCTCCTCTGAGTTCCTAACTTAAGAGATTATTCCAATTGGAAATAACTCGCAATTCCATTTAATTTACTACCTTCTTAGGTTTTAACTGAAACCATGTGAATCCCCATTTGTGGCCGTCCTGGGCTGCAGCTGCCCTGCGCACTGTAGGGCATGGTGGCTTTTTTAAGCAAGATGCTTCCTTCGGAAGGCCATTTGAGTCTCCCTGTCTGCAGGTGTGCAATGTGAGGAGACCGCTGCAGAGCTCTGACTCCCCATTTTGCACTAACAAGTGTCAGTCCGCAGAGGTCAGAGCCGCACCATCGTGCTGGAGCAGCTAAGGTGCAAGCCACCAGCGGGAGCTCCCTGCGGGGAGTCCCTGGTTCCTGAGTGGGTCTGCACCAGGTCAGTGCTGGCAGGAGCTCGGCACCTCCTGCACAGGGATAGCCTGCTCCTAAGGAAAACCTGCTGCATTTCCAGCACTCCCAAAGAGGCAACAGGCAGGAGGGGGCAGCACTCCTCAGAAAATGAAACCTTGCTGTACAGGGAGGGCAGCAGGCAGGGAGAACTGCAGGCGAACCACTCTTAAAAACCAGGACTTGCTGAGAGGCTCTTCAACGAAGGTAACAGCATGTGTTGCTGCTCCCCTCCCCTCTAAGCAATGATTTATTTCATTGTGCTGACAAAATGGGTTTCAGGGCTAACAGCCATTATTTCTAATCAATTCTAGGCTGATGCAGAACACAGCAGATGCTCTGCACTTCAGTCATTCTTCAGCTTTGAATCACCTACAGGACACAGCAGTGCTGGAAGACAAAAACGTATGTCGGGAGGCCATTTAAATTAAGATGCAACCCTTAAAACTGGAACAAAGCATTTCCTGGCCTCTCCATACACAACAAGCTTTCAACCAGAGCCCGGCTGGCTCATTGGATTTGTCCCTGTTACCAGAAGAGCTCAGCTGCTGAAACAGCCAACAGCCTGAAAAAAACATTTGTTCCTTAAAAACTCATAGCAAATTGCACTGGCTAGGACAGCCACTTCACCTCCACCACAGGCACAGAGATGCTGCTGGGTCTTTCATATTCCTTTTCCTTTACTTCCACCTGCCTGGATGCTTCAGGATGTGCTGCTGGAGCTGCGCATCGCCAACGATGGCTGAAAGATGCTCTCCAGGTCAGAATGATGTTTCCTGTCTGTGCCTTACTCACCCTGACAAGACACTCACCCTGCTTGTGGCTCCTTGTGATGGAGGCTACATCAGCCTCAGCCTGACTCAAACCACTGCACAGCTGAAGGAGAGGAGTTGTTCCCACTCCAGAAACGTGTGGCTGAAGACACTATGTCTGCTCCTTTGTGACTGAACTACAGGCTCTAATGTCCGTGCATTACTTCTACAGACAGAGAAACCCCTGCAAGGAACCGGGACTAACAGTTGGAACTGCTTTTACACTAGAAAAACAGTGACTGTGAAGCACTGTTAACATCTACTCTCTTATTTAATAAGAACAGACGTGGGCTTTTTACCATAGGACACAGAATACTAGAGGTGGGTGAGAGACTCTGCTTGCAAATCAAAGCAGGATTTCCATGGCCATGGCCAGCAGAGTCCATCTTCAGAGCCACAAATCTCCACGTCAGATGTCAGAGAAACAGCAGGAGGGGAGAGCCCCCCTAGCAGACAGCAGGACCCCTGCACTGCAGCTGGAAGATGAGAGGATGTTTATGACATTTAATCAGATGGCAAAGCAACCCATGCTTTTATTTTCCTTTCTCTTGCTAAGGAAGCAAGTGTAATGAACCCTCTTCCCCAAAAAAGGTATCTCTTAAGGATCTGTTATTGATGGCAACCCCATCTCTAGACTCTCCTGATAAATTTGAACCCTTCTTCTACACCATCAGCTGCTTGAATATAGATCAGATCAGCAGAGAGAAATAATTCCTCCTGATTAAAGCCTGCCTTGGTGTCTGTTACGCAAGATGATTTAATGGTCACCAGTCAAAAAACCTTTCACTGTGACTTGGTCCAGACTGCAAGCACTTAAAGCAAGGGTGAAAATAACAGTTACTCCTGATAAAACTGATGACTTCCAGTTTATGGGCTTTAGGGACTGGAGTTGGTGAATGGTTTTAATTGCCAAACTTTGCTTTGTTCAGGAACAACTGCTTGATCTAGTTGGCTGCACTCAGACAATGGAGGAAGCAGTTCCAGTTTGACGCTCTTAGCAGAGCAATGTGAAGCATTGGAGACCCTCAAGTTACAGCAGTAACACAACTGGAAAACTTTGACCAGGAAGGAAATCAGATGACCCCTTCAATGCAGGTTCTCACTGAGAGGTAAGAAATGGTGCACCAGACCAAGAGTGCTTCTGATTCAACTCATGCTGTCTTGATAAGCTGCTGCCACGGCTCTGGACACAATGCAGCTCATCAGAAGTACATGCAAGCCTAGTGCCAAACCTGAGGGGCTGTGTGGCTCATCCCCCTGCTAAGGCAGACCTTCCTACTGTGTCATCTCAACTGAAAAGATTCCAGACCAGTCTTTGAAGACTCACTGTCGTCCAGTCTCTATCTCCCGCAGCCAGTAGAGTCTTTCTGATGTAAAATCATGTTTAAATTCTCCCATACTCACAAGCAACTTTCCTTAAAGCAATGACAATGTATTTGTTTCTCCTACAGTCTTCCCTTTCTTCTAACATCCGTAAAGGATCCACCCCAGTCCTGAGATGCTGCTACCTAGCAAGATAAGTAAGACCAGCCAAGCATGTCTGTGTATTAAAAAACATCTTTCAGGGATGCCTCTGGTTAAAAATTGATCACTGTACATAAAAAACAGGAGACCAAGTGCCACCACACCGCATGCAAAATTCCTGCCTAGTTCCAGCACACAGCACATATGTAGATGTTTCAGAGATGTTCAGTCAGGCTTAAAGAGGGAGACGGGGCAGAAGGCAGCTAAATAGGACCCTGAAAGCAGCAGCTGGCTGCTGTCAAGCTGAGCCTGCAGCAGGCAATGGCAAGGAAGCCCACAAACAACAGAGGCTGGACCGGATGCTCCTAAAGACATATGAATCATTATTTGCAAGTGAGGTTGAGAAAGATCTAGGGGACCAAGGGGTGGACACATAACATCCCACTAGCTTGCGGTCTGATGCCAGCGTTGCTGTTCCAGCAAGTGCAAAAACATCCATGGCAGATGTTTCCTTCCTCCCCCTTTGGAGAGGATCAAGCCCAAGGCAGGAGAGGCAGCACCAAGGTGACTCTGAGCATTGGGATGCTCTCCTGGGATCTCCCTGAGCTCCATGCTGCAGAGGAGCCTCCCAGACAAGTAGTATTGCTTTATTTGATAGCATTTTGGTGGGACATGAACCAAAGCAGCGGTGTTCTGCAATGTGCTGAGCTGTCCCTCACTCCCTGCATCAGGGCAGGGTGCTCCTCTCTGCTGTCTGTGTGGTACCGGGCCATTCACACTTGTGGAGGTCTCCCTGGGCACTAGGCTTGTTAACAGGCATATCAAGGAGCAGAGAAGAGAAACACTGCTTGTGCATCACACTGGATTCTGGCAGTGAAGTCCTACATCTCCTCACACCTGTGGTTAGAAATACAGCAGCTTAAGCAAGTCAAAAGCAAGAGCAGAACATATTTTATGGAGGCAAACCCACGGAATTTGACATTCAAACTTTCTTTCCCTGATGTGTCTCTCACACTGGAGTGCGACACAGGGACAGCAACGATTTAGCATAGGAACTAAGAGAAATCCAAGACAATTTCCCCTAAAGCCATGTGGCTGGATGAAGGGTTTTCTTTCCAGCTAACAGTAAGTGCCAGCCTGTCAGAAAACCAGTCTCCAAGGATCAGGTGAACCCTTCTCCCAGGAACCTTCAGGGAAGGAGATGGGGCACACCTAAAGATGCTAAATCTGTCTCCTTAAATGCATATGCTCCAAGCTGATAATTCATCTCATCCTGAGAAGATTGGGAAGGTCCTAAAACGTTTCCCCATGGAAAGAGGAGCAGCACTGCATGCTCCTTTTGGAGAACACCAGCTCCTCTGTGACTCCTTTTGGTGTGCCGCTGAACCACCCTAAGCATCTGTTTCTCCAACTGGTACCACTGTCTACATGAGTTGGCAGGCTGGTTGAGGATCAGCAGATGGTACCAGTGAAGACCATCCAAGTACAGAGCTTGGTGAAAGGCAGATGGACACTGCTGTGACGATCCTGATTTCTCCAGCAGTCACATGGGAATACATCTTTACGTTTTACACCTTTACAACCAAAAGGCCATACAAGCTATATCCAAGGCTTTGTCATCTGTTGACAGTTGATTTAATAAAACCCAATACTATAAACTGGTTTTCCACTGATGAAGGAACACTCAAACCCAACAAAAAAGGACAACTTCATGAACCCGCTACCAGGCAGGCGCTGCTCAAACTTCTGCATCTGAGAAGAAGAAATCTAAAACTTTCCATTTGAAGAAATCTCAGATTTTCCATTTGAGCTTCTGCTGTGGCCAACTTCAGTTCATTTAGAAAGGATTGTGCTTCTCACTCCCTCACCACCTTCTCTTTCCTTTAGCACTTGTATCTGCTGGTAATAGAATATACAGTCCCACCTCTGCTGTGCCTCTGGGGTGTCTGCAGACCACAGGTAGGGACCAGCAAGCCAAATGGTTGTTGGCCCTAAGGACTTGTGGAAATTCACTCACCACATTTAGTACCTTAGGTTTTCAGCTTGTCCATTTTTAATGCAAACACAAATCCAAGCTCCAACTTTCAGCTTGGTGCCTTCCCTTTTTAGGTAAATTAGAGGCTCTGTGATGCTGCCCGTAGATATATTACTTTCCAACTGTTAGTGATTTAAACCTGTTGGTCAATTTTGACCAAATTTGACCAAGGCAGAGACCTCAAATGCTGGTATTTTGGATAAGGACTGCCCTGCTCCCACTGCTCTGAGAGGTTTCTGTCTGTGAGCAGCCTGGTAGCATCAAACTGGTGGAACTGGTAGGACTGTGGGAGGGTGCTGTGCTCCCTGTGTCCTGGGGAGTGGGTAAGAAATGAGATGTTCTGGGGATGTCCAAACAGAGGAAGGGAGCTGGGGTAGATACTGGGGCAGGGGTGTGTAGGGAATACAGGATGCAAGTCCACTGGAATCCAGCTTCACTGGTTCTGCTACGCAAGTAGCAAGCTTGCTCATAAGCATAATGTGACCTTCCCTTCATAAGAGCGAGCTCTTCCCAAACCTGAGAAGCTTTCTTTTATAAGATGGAGAGAGACTTTTTACCAAGGCCTGTAGGGACAGGACAAAGGGAAACATTTTTTAACTGAAAGAGGGTAGATTTAGGTTGGACACAAGGAAGAAATTTTTCACAATGTGGGTGCTGAGGCGCTGGCACAGGGTGCCCAGAGAAGCTGTGGCTGCCCCATCCCTGGCAGTGTTCAAGGCCAGGTTGGACACAGGGGCTTGGAGCAAGCTGCTCCAGTGGAAGGGGTCCCTGCCTGTGGCAGGGGGCTGGAACTGGATGAGCTTTAAGGTCCCATTTTGCAATTCTAAAATGGAATGAGAGTCTCTCTCCAACCAGCAGACACCCTGATGCTTGCACTGCACCAACCCCATCCTTCAGCTAACCCAAGACTGACATAAACACAAGTCAGCACTGTGGAGGCTGTGGGCAGAGCCCTGCCCAGCGTTACTCACCAGCTGGATGGCTATCATTAATACCGTCTTCAACGTGAACGTCCTATCGCAGAGGTCAAATAGATCTTCCAAGCTAGGACCAAGCAGCTCTAGTACCATGGCGTTGTACTTTCCACACGGTCCAAAGTAATACACCTGGGGAAGCCCTTCAGCTGGAAGAACAGGAAAGAATTGAAATCAGTCAATGGGGCAATGTTAAACCCTTCCTCCTGCATGTAAATGTTTCATTGGGCAAAGCCTGTTCTTTTTACCTCTCCAGTGTCCCTTCTGTTTGATGTTACCCAGCAAGCAAATAAGTTTCAGGACACACTGTGGATGAACCAAAGACCAAATCAGTGCAGGCTTTGCTCATCTGCACCTTTGAATAGACAAATAGATTTCAAAGCAGTAACATGATCACATGAAAGCATCTACCTTTGGCAGCTTAAACTCTTGGACGTAGAGAACAAGACACGAAGTTCCCTACGTTGCACTGAACACCAGGCAGAGCACAACCCCGAACGTGGGCTGGCACTTGTCTGAGCAGTTAGGAAGATGATATTCCTTGCACAAAATGAGGCATGTCCAAAAAAGGGATCCTTTTTCGACCCAGATAATACACAGCTGTTGTTATTCAGCACAACCATATGCAAAGTTTACTCATGTGAAAGGAAAAAAAAGTTGTTTTCCTTTAAAAAAGAGCAAGGATTTACATTTTGACCCATCACCATGTAAAAATAAGTGATCACAGTCATTAAAGCTATGCGCAAAGCATTCTGCTGTAAGTCATACACAAAACTCTCAATACCCAACTGGTAGGAGCCAGAACCACCTCTTCCCACCTAACAGCTCAGCAGCAGATTTCCCAGCAAGAGTACGCAATATTTATACCCAACTGATGGTGGCTTTTTGTGTGGATCAGCTTTCTGAAAGCACCAGAAGAAAAGGGAACAAACCAGCTTTGGTGTCTGAGTGCTCCCTGAGCTGCACAGCGCTCCTCAAATTACCCTTTGAGCAAAAAAGAAAAGCCAGCCTGGCCCACACAGTAGGGAATTCTGTGCAGGGCCAAGCACAAATTTGTTTAGTCAATATCTAGCTCCATATCCCAGCATCACTATCAAGCTGCATAACACTTCTAAAACAAATATTTCCTGTCTACATCTTATAAGCAGCTCCAAAACGCAATGGAAGAGATTTTGTCTTGAAATATTGGGTTTGTCCTATGCCAAAACAACATCCTTGCTTGAATACACAAAATACAACATCCTGTTATTCACTGTAAAGGCTCAGCACGGGGAGCACTATTATGAACAAAGCCTTTTTTGCACAGAATTCTGTGAATTAAATAGCATGGGGCCCAAGAGCACAGTGATTATAACTTTCATAGCATGTTTTCACAAGTGCATGCACACACCTATATTTACATGACAGATCAATATTAAGAATAGCAAATCCCTTCACGCATTATCAGACACCAGGATTAAACTGCTTGTGTAACTGCTCAGCTTTGCACCAGGTCTGCAGTGTGCTCACAGCCTGGCCCAGCACAGGCGGAGGCAGAACAGGGAAACACTTCAGGCTGGAGGGTGTCAGCATTGTAATAACTTCATGTCCTACTATGGATTTAGGGAAGCCTCGTTCATCTGCCCGATGGTGCTCACCAACTCACCGACACAATAAATGCAGCACTGAGATTACTAAAGCTTAACTATTGCAGAACTTATGCTCCCACCTATTACTCAAAAAGAACAAAGTGAAGCTTGACAAAAATTACTGTAGGATGGTTTAATCTTGTTAAGTGACAGGCTTGGGGAATCGTATTAGGTATCAGTCATCAGGACGCATTCACGAGATATTACAGAGTATTGCAGGAATTCCCAGTCTAACCAGAGCTTTACATCCTGTGTAAAACATTTACCCATCCTGGTTTTAGGAGGCTCCTGTTCCTAACAAAACCTTGTGTTAGGGCCAGGCCAAGGGGAATGGCTTGAACCTGCCCGAGGGGAGACTGAGCTGAGCTCTTAGGCAGAAGCTCTTCCCTGTGAGGGTGCTAAGGTGCTGGCACAGGGTGCCCAGAGAAGCTGTGGCTGCCCCATCCCTGGCAGTGTTCAAGGCCAGGTTGGACACAGGGGCTTGGAGCAAGCTGCTCCAGTGGAAGGGGTCCCTCCCCGTGGCTGGAACTGGATGAGTTTAAGGTCCCTTCCAACCCAAACCAGGCTGGGATTCTATGACGCAGAAGCAATTCCAAAAGCCAAAAAATGATGGGATGTGAGATGAAGGCAGCTCGAAACCTTTTTCAAATATACCTAAATCAACATACATGATAATTTAATGCCCTCAGCTTAATGCTAAAGACCTGAGTAATTGCAATAGCTCTCAAAGTAACTCATGGTGAGCCACTGAGTTTTCAGTAAAATCGGGTGAGGATTTACCAACCTAATTAGCTCTAATACCAAGATTGTCATCTGTACTTCTTAGAGAATAATTCAAGGATGATAGAGAATGATAGAAGAGGGTAACAGAATATCCTATGAAAAGTTTTAAACCGAGACCATTGCAAATTTAAGATACAAATACAGTGAGTAGTAATTTAAGATACACACACAGTGAGTAGTACCACAAGTACTACATCAGGATAACGGTCTTGAAAAGTGCAGATGAGGAAGGAAACAGCTCGGATTAGGAGTGTGCTAATTAAGGTATTAATACAGCCTTACTTGGTAAGGAGACAGTACTGCAATTACAATTAAATTCCTACTGGGCCTAAGAACAAGGAATATAAATTGCAGCAAGACTCAAAGATGGGGGAAGGAAGCAACAGCAACACAAACTCTTCAGTGCTCTCTGGGCTCCCAACTCCTTCAGTCAGCTTTACCCACTCAACACCTTACGAGCAAGAGGCTGGAGTACCCTTCTCAGCTCTAAACCTCAGCAAGGCTCTGCTCTTGGTGGGAGCTCCTACAAGGTGAAGCTGTAGCAAAGAACATTAAAAAAAGCATCCGAAGTGCCAGCCTACAGAAGCCATTATTAGTTTCAGGCATATTTTTAGGGTTTGATTTTTCCCTGAGGGTTTTCAGCAGCAACACTGCCAGCTCTGCAGTCAAGAACTTGCCTACTGGCTTTGCTAGAAGAGAAATGCTGTAGCATAGATCTAATTTTCAGACCCAGGCTGCATCGCTCATCTATTCTGGGCCCAAAGGAGCATTGCTGTGGAGCCTCCCGGCCCAAGCCAGGGCTCCTCAGCTCCACACCAGTTACTGAAATGAAGGGACATGAGATAATATACCCTCAGCTCACTCAAACACAGATCAACATTTGCCATCATTTTAAGAAGGGGCAAAGCTCGAAAGAGAAGTTGTCAGCTTGATGTAGGTATTAAAGGGTGCCTGTTGCCTGCAGGATCCAAGTGGGCAGATGCCACTAGAGGATGCTGAGCTGGGTTCTCTGGACCTTATTAACAGTAGAAAGGGGCAGCCTGAGAAAATCTGCATCAAATTTTATTTAATCACAGCCCATCTGCATAATTCATGGTGTAGCTTGGCTCTATTTCAGCAACAAGAAATGTGTCCTGGTGCCACCGAGTCCATTGCCACGGTGAACTGCAGGAGCTCCACAAATATCACCACTAGATCTGTAAACACTTCTGAAGGACACTGCCAACAAAAGAGATTGATTGAGGAAAAGGTATCTTTTGTCTGGGCACTCGAACTTGAGGTTTTTAATGGTGATGAATTGTGTCAGCAGAGGACTGAAAAGGTCAAACAAAGCCACAGTGCTGTGGAGCAGTCTGCTATAGATGAGCAGTTCTGGGTTCAAAGAGTGCAGGATGAAAAGCCAGAGGCAGAGCAGGGGTCTCATCTAGAGGATTCAAAGGTACAACTCAACACTTGAAATACAAACTGTGATCAGTTTAATGCAATTAATGTATGAAATCACATCAAAACAAATTACTGCTCCATGGCATTAAACAAGAACAACACATTAAGTGCAGAAAATCCAGGCACGACACGTGCAACTTCTCCTTTGGAGAAATAGCAGTGTCTTACAGTGAAAGCTGCTGCAAGCAGAAATCTTCTGAGTTTGCTTAAAAGCTTTGGACTTGCTGCTGAGTGATTTGGCTTTGAGTCTATGTAAAAGGCCTCACTTCATGATCGCTCTCATGGAAAGGTTATCACCCCAATACACATGCTGATCACTGCACTGGAATCCACAGGCAAATTCTGTTATTTCAGCAGTGTGATGTCTTGGAAAACATTCAAGCTGAGCACAGTGAAAGCCCAGCATTGCATTTTGGAGATTAAAGCATCGCGCTGGAATGAGAGCAAATGCAGACATCAAAGCTAAAAACTCAACTTTGCTTCCACCATGCTCAGAACAGCCACACAACTCCAGCCCCGGGTTCCCTCTGGGCTACCACCAAAAGGGACTGTCCCACCCCCACTCCACCCTCACCTGTCCTGCTGCCTCCCCAAGCTCATGTGGCTGAGCAATAAATTGAAAGGACCCAAAGGGTTTGCTTGAGCTTGGAACACAAGAATGATGGAATCATGGACTGGTTTGGGTTGAAAGGGATCTTAAAGCTCATTCAGTTCCAACCCTCCCACGGGCAGGGATACCTTCCATTAGAGCAGGTTGCTCCAAGTCCCCAGCAACAAACAGCAGGACCACTGCTCTTCAAGAAAGCTTCATTTGAGCTCTATTAACAGCAGGGAACTACACCTTTCAGCATATTTTCATGCAAGGTCAAGCATTCTGGATGATGCAAGTAGTGCTGTCTTGCTGCCACAGGCTACAGCACAACTAACAGCCCTGATAACTTGTCAGACATCCAGGATACTCCAACAAGCCACATTAGTCTAGGCATCACACATACAAGTCATATAAAGACTCCAAAGCTTTTTCCAGGACCGGTTATGAAATGGCAACTGGCAGAGAGATGCCAATCAAAGGTTATGCTCAAGGGAAATCGGATTTTGCAGCATCTGCTCCACGTGGAAGGCTCGGAAAGCGGAAACCATCTGCCGTGGTGGAAAATATGTATTGATGCTCTGTATATGAACATCGTGAGAGGCTATGAATAAACCTCAAGCAACAGCAAGCAGCCCAAAATATACTCAAGGAGGGATGAGGTAACAAGAGCAGGAAGCTACACGTGGCACCTACATTAGTGGAG